TTTATCATCGGTGTTTGACAATACAGCTCCTAACGCATAATTCTTACTATCTATAAATTGATTTTCTGGAGAAAAATCTAGGTATTGCAGAACTGGTGAATTAGTTAATAATTGTTTTAAATTTTCAAAATATTTTTGGCACTCTGGACAAAAAATTGAACTTTTTATATTGTAAGATTATTTAGTGGTGCAGCAGTATCTGCGAAATTATTTACATATTTTCTATTGTAATTAGAGAAAGCAACAAATCTCTTAACTTCCTGAGAATCTTTTGGAACTGGAAAATTTTAAATAGCTTCTATTTTAGAAGGATCAGGTAAAACATCTCCAGCAGAAATTATGTGACCTAAATAAAGAATTTTTTTTTTCAAAAATCATATTTATTTGGAATTAAATTTACTTGCCTTAATCTTTGGAAAACTTTAACTAAATTTTTATTGTGATTTATTAGATTATTTGCAGAAACAATTAAATCGTCAAGATAGACAAAACAACATTCATAGTTAAGCCCTGACATTGCAAGAGTCATTGCCCGAAAAAATGCACTAGGGCTTGTCGAGTTATTTGAAACTGACCTCGATCTGTACAAAAAGCGAGTTCTACCTTATAATAGCCTTGAGATAAATCAAGATGAGAAAAATACATTGAACCTGATAATGCATCTAAAATTTCTGTAATACAAGGTAATGGAAATTTATCATTTTATATTTGCGAATTCAACTGCCTATAATCTATAACTAAAAGTTGAAATTCAAGACACATATACTTTATCTATTTATTATGTGATATTTATTGTGCCACATGATACTACTGACCCAGATGATATGCGTAATTTCTTTTAAACATCAACTACTTCATTATTAAAAATATCCTATTTTTTAACTCTCTACCGTTATCAGAAATTATTTGTTCTGGTATAGAGTAATGAGTAAAATATTTAATTATACTACTGACTACTTCGATTCCTTGTGCGGAATTAATTTTGTATAATTTACCATACGTTGAAAATGAGTCTATTATAGTTAAAAATGTATTACTTTCTAATGTTACTGTATCTAAATGTAATATTTGGAAAGTTTTAATCGCTGTAGGAGTAATATTGTAAATAGGTTTAATAGGTTTTCTATCATATTTTGTTTGTTGGCATATTTCACAGTTGTTAATGTAGGTTTGAATTGATGCTCTTTGATTGGACCAATAATATAATGTTTTAATTCTATTTTCTGTTTTATTTATACGTTTATGATTTTGCTTTCCTTTATGATAATTTTTTATTACATCTTCGACTTCATTTAATGGGACATCAAGAAATTTTTTGGAACATTTATTAAATGAAATTTGGAAATTTTTGAAAAATTGTTGTACAACATCGCCAAATTTTTCATATAGGGGATCTTCAAAATAGATATGGTATTTTACAAATTTGATAACATCGTTTTCAAAATTATTTTTTGAGAATTATACACGAATTCGTTGTTTGTTTTCATAAGATTTTATAAAAGTAGTATCATTTTCATCTTCGATGTCATTGTTTATATCATTAGGTTCTACTACAAGAGATTCTGTTTCATGATTTAATTTATGACATTGAAGTCCAATATTAAAGTTTTCCATATATTCGAAAATTTCTGTAGAAGTATTAGGTTTTCGTATTCAGCGAACGTTTTAACTTTTAATATATCGAATTTAAATTTGTCTTTTTAAATTTTATTTCGATTTGGGTACGTTGGTTGTTCGTATTCATCAAATGTTTCAAATTTTAATTTGTTTGTAAAAATATTTAAGTCTGGGTATGTTGTTTGTTCGTATTCAGCGAACGTTGCAACTTCTATACTTGGACCTAGGTCAACTTTAAAATATGATTCAGATGAATTTAAGATGGAACTATCTTCTACTTTTGTTTAACATTCAGGAATTTCTAATTTCCCAATTTTTGTATACAGTATTACTACGTCACCGTTTTTGACATTACTTATATTTAATTAAATAATTTGTACTGTTCGTGGTGGCACTACTATACAATTTGTGCACTCACTATTTATCTTAAAATAATTTCTTTTTATTTGACTGCAAGGGGTAATTAATAAGTTATTTATTAGTTCAATTTTTGCACTCAATTTTTTGAGATTATCTAACCCTAATAAACAATCAAAGTGGTTATGAAACTTGAAAATACAATACTCTAAATTAATTGATTTAATATGTATATATATTTTTGAGGATGGAATTACTGTACAATAATTTTATTGTTTCGTTAAACAGGATTTTGTCTATTTCTAAGTAAATAAATATATTGGTAATTATGATTAATATTTTTATATTTTGGACCTTAATTATCAACAATTTCAATTTGAAAATCATTTGTTAGTGTATTCGAAGCAGAATTGAAATCTAAAGGGTTTTTTGTTCGCATTAATGTACCTAATAATGGTCCCTTTGGTCCGCGTAACAATATTCTGAGCCTGATTTCTAAAATAATTGCCTAAAACATTTTGTTAATTTTCATTAGAACAAGTCAGTCATAAGGTTATTTGAAGATCTAAAAGATGCTGCATTTTATTGAAGAATTGGAACTAAGAATCGTTACTCTGTTGTAATGCTGAAATTTCTAATCTTGAGGTATAAATGTCTCTTTTATCTGCATATGTATTCAATAAAGCAGCTTTCCCAATTTATTATCGTACAAGACGATATATTTTTGGCAGCTTCGCCTTTTACTTTTACTAAAATTCTAGACATTATATACTCATTTTTCGCTTACTTCTATAAATCTAAGAAGTAAAGCGGGATCACCATAGAAATCTGTGATCATATCTAAATATGTATTTTTTAATTCTGGAATTGTTGAAGCCATTTTAATTTTTTTATTTGAAGTTAAAATATTTAAAATGTAAAAGTCGTCCTATATAAGAATTTCAGTTCATAAAACATATTTCACAGAGACATTCTGTATCCGTTCAGACTTAAGCCGTTAAAATATTTTGCATCACCAAATACGTACTACTTCAATCTTACAAGGAAAACTTACTAAAGTTTGGACATAGTTTGTAGTCAAAGAAGTTTTTAGGATCTTGGAGAAGTTTTCATTTCATATAACTTTATAATATTGGCGGATATTGTGGTTTAAAGTGGAAATTTCAACAATTGAAAATTGTTCAGTTATACGAATATTTTAAGTGGTCCAAGTATTTGGCATTGGTTTTCAAATTAAATTACCCAAAAGTTATTTGATCGAAAACCTATAAAAATGAAAACAATATAATATAAGTATTTTTAGATTTAGAAAATCAAAATTAAAAGTAATTTAACTTATATTATTGCAATTGAACCGAAAAAGATTTAATCATTAGTTATATCAAATTTAATTAAAGATTTAATAATATTCAATAAATTCCAAAACCTATTTAATGTTAAGTTCGATGTCAAGTATTTGTTACTAGATGTGGCAACAGGGCTTGCATTTTGTACCTTCTTTATTAAAAGGGTACAATGGCTTACACATAATAATTGTTTTTTACCGCTGTTACATCATTCTCTTTATCCCTTCCCTTACGTCTCACCACATGTCTCTTCGCTCCTGATGTATAATAAATGGACCCTAAAAAACAGCTTTAATAATCTTACTTTATAAGGGTGGCGACTAAATTAAAACCTATAATTGTAGGCCTATTACTTTGTTACCTACCTTATCAAATGTTCTTTCTTTTTAAACATAACTCCCCAACAGCTATGAGTTTGGCTTTTTACCTAAAAAATACACCTGTGCCGCAATTTTGTCCGTTCCTAAAAAATGTATACATAACTTATTGATTTGATTGTCATGACCAATCAAAAATAGTTTAAAACTTACCTGGAAAATAGAAATCAACAGATGTGTATTTTTATATTGATCTTAAAAGTAGTTATTTGATTTTAAAATGTTCATATATTAAGGTTGTAAATCTTATTAAAGTTTTAAGAAATAAAAATAATTTAATTTTGTTTACCTGCATTTTAGGAAAAAGTGAGTTTCATTCTTATTAGAGAAAAGAATTATGAAAATCACAGTAACAAGAGATTAAATTTTTAATATTTTGATTTATTTCCATTACGTTGAAAGGTAGTAGGGGGAGTTGTATAAAAAACGATTTGGTTCTTGAATATTTCTATTTCATATTGAGTGGTAGATAATACACAATTTTTCCGTGTAGAGGTAGGTACACATTTTAATATATGTTAAACTAGTTTACGTTATTGTATTTTTAATTTCAGATAACAAAGTCGAAATGCACAAATCATTGCATTAAAAATTATAGCAAACATCTTTACAACATAAAGAAGAACACTAGAACCGTTTCTTTAAAGGCAAGGAAATATTTAACAGGTGATATCATACAAAAATTGGTAAAGGCAGCACAATTCGCGGTTTGCACTAATAAAGATGAAAGCGTTGCACAACTTAAACAAGATTTAAGAAATAGTGTAACACATGTTTTTGGTAATCATCTTAACTGCCGAAGAGAAATTTGCGATGTTAACAACGATATTAACAAACATTCCGAATTCACATCATCAGGAGTTCACCACCATGTATACGCAGCATTAAATTTACTTTTCTGGTTATGTTCTTTTATGTTTTTGTGATGGCATAGTTTATAATGGGTACATGCTGTAGTGACCTTATTCATTTTCAATAGCACAATCCACCTGAACAGATAAGATTGCGATACTATACATACAAAATCATGAATCTGTAATAAAAAATAATGAAATAAAACGTATATAAGCATTTACAAGTAAGTAATCGCTTTATTGTTAATCAAGTGAATCATAATTATTAACAAAAATCAGTTTTATTTTCATTGTAGTGCTTTGTGATATACGATATTTTTTTGTTTGATTACCTGGCGCATAGACAAATAAATCTAATTGTTTTACAACATGGGAACTGGCAACATACAATGGGTTTTCTAGATTAATACCACAAACACATTATGATTACCTCTGGGACTTATTTACGGTCATAGCGAAAACAAGCCGCACTGGAAACTGTAGTCGTTTAAACTCAAATGGTACATCAGTGGAATCATTGGGATGCGTGGTATCAAAACATCTTCTTTATATTTTCCTTTTAATATAGTTGCTTCTATCACGTTGTTTACTAATTTTTTTATCGCCAAATTTAGCGGTAAATAGTTAACGACATCATCTTGGTTAGTAGCCGGATCAACTGATTTATATATCCTCAATTCGCCTGTAATGTGTTCTTGAATTTTGAAATTTAATTCATTTACATCTATGTTTTTTGCAGCCAATATAGCTCGTTCGCTCAACCAATCATGGTTTCTGTAATTTTAAGCAACATCTGGAAACAACTTCTGAATAAGTTCATCTTTTGATCGAATTAACTGACAAAAACTTTGAGAAAAGTTAATGCAGTCAGTCAACAAGTCTATAGGAAATTTGCCATTACCAATGTCAATGAGCTGTTTAGAGAATATGTCTCCAGATTGGTCATTTTGCAACTCGACACGCATATCCTTACTTAAATGTAATACCTTGACATGTTTCCACAAATTGGGGGACTTTAAACATGCATTGAGTTCATCAGCTGGCGTTGATCGTGGAATCACTGGCAATGTTTGACGAAAATCTCGTGCTAATAAAATCACTGCACCACTAAATCAGTTATGATTGCTCCGTAGATCTTTTAAGGTTCTATTTAAAGCCTCCAAAGATTTTTTATGTGCCATCGTGAATTTATCACAATCAATTTACATTGCTGCAAAACCTTTGCTATTTCAGACTTCTTCGAAATGTTGCAGGTTGGAGTTTCATTGCTTTGCATATTTAATGACAATTTTAATGCTAAATGGGCTGTTCGACCACCTTTAAGCAAAGTTGCTGCGATTCCTGACGAAGCGAGTCCAAGTGCAATTTTATTTTGTAAGTGAATTGTTGCTAATATCAATGAAATCAAAAAAGTTTTTCCTGTACCACCAGGTGCATCTAAGAAGTAAATTCTTCCAGTTTCATCATTTGTTACTTTCATAAGAGTATCAAATACATACTTCTGTTGTTCGTTCATTCAATAATGGAAGATTTGTTTGAATTAATATTTTTAAAGAGTTGAGATCGTAGAGTTTTTCTCAGTGCAACTCTTGGTTAAACGTATCATGCATTGGACGATTGGGCGCGGCCAGTCCTAATTGAAATAATAGTTTGTTTGACATCATCAAACACATGTCCTCAATTGAAATCAATGTTTCATTGTAAATTTCTTCGCTGATTTGTATATTTCAATTTCCCGTTCTATTCCGTATTTGATACAATATATCACCACACATATTATCTTTGTACTTGATCCACAAATCAATTGGGTTTGATGGGAAGCATGTAGATATGATTATAGAAAACAATGTTCATATTTGATGAGCTTGTGATGATATTAGATTATCATTGAGAGTTTGATCACAATGAGTGTCATTTTCTAGTTTTTCTTGCTAAAAACCATCCTTGGACTTCAACGAACATTTAAAAAAAGAATTGGTAAAATTGGTCCAGATGTTGTTGAATTATGCGCTTACCAACACATTTTGCGATTCATTTTTATATTATAGATTAAAATAGTACAATAGACGATATAATTACGGAAATAGTTACAATTAACTTTTTCCTAGACTAGATTTTGCAAAAAATGTATCAGATGGGGTACCAGAGGGTTAAAAAACGTTCCCTTGTGAAATGTAAGAAAAAATGGATGAAACAAGAAGCTGTAGAGTTACCGGGTAGCTTTCTGACTGTTCAGTGTGGTACAAAAGCATCTTCATATCATGGAGTTGTCAGAATTTAAATTATGTAGGAGGTGCGAATAAGGAGATGAAACCATCGAGTATATCCACTAGAAATATGCCCAACGCTTGTATCTATTAAAAGATTTGTGTTTGGCAAGTATTGGCTAACACCGGCCAATATAAAGGTATTCGATCGATGGTCGCTATAGAGACATCCTGCAGCTACAAGGGACTGAGCACAGATTTAGAAACACTACCGTTTTAATGAAATTAAATGAGACACTTATTAATCTAACTGCTGCTCTCTCGTGCATTAAACTAATCCTATGGATATCGATTCTACGATTATTAGCAAATATAAAAATGATAACGTAGATAATAATGTAACAAAAGTGACAAAAATTCGTAGTGGTAGAATCCTTTAATTTAGATACCTAACAATTTTGTATCTCAAGTTGTAATTTTTAGAATGTTAGTTTCTAGTATGTTATTTATATTTTTGATAGTTTGTTTTTCGAATAATGATCTCCACTACATTTTAAGAAAAATTATGAAGATTTTAATACAAATACCTAATTTAAAATGTGCGTACAATTGTATGTATTACTTTTAATTTTATATGTATTTAATAAAAATTTAGTTCAGATTTTACATTTCAGATTAAAATACGTTTTTGCTATACTGGGTGATACTTTATTTATTTAGATTCCATACTAATTTTAAATATTCTGTTTAAAAATTATACCAATTAATTATTTTTATACAACTTTATGTTGTTGGCAATAATCATCCATTACAATTTGTTGTTTAACACCTCGTATACATCTCAACTTTAGCAATATGGTAAACACCAAGTGCAACTTACGTAAAAATCAAAATGAAAGTTTGTAACGTCGATACCAGCCGCCAATACCACATCTGATAAAACCAGTAAGTTGCAAGGTGATGAAGCATGACCCCGATTTAGACATTAGCGTGCTTTCCCAAGGTACATTCGGATCATGCAGGAGTTCTACAGGATGTTTATTTCTGATATTTTTTAAAAACGGTTTATTTATTGAGCTAAGTTACAGAATAAAGCCTAGAAGGGTTCGTTTAATTTTATATACAAATAGTTTTTGGATAAACAGCTTTAAGGGATGAGAGGCTCAATTATTTTACACAAGCAGGATTGAGAGGTAAAGTGCCCTAAAGCAGTGGTCGCCAACCTGGTAGCTCTCACAACGATTTTAATTTAAAAAATACAAACTGCAAAAATCAGAGAAGCTTCCGAAAATTCCACAAAAAAATCTAATTGTCATAATATTAAACATAAACAGCGGCAACGTTGAGGTGAGCGATCTGCCGCTGACGCCATCAAGCTAGAATCGGATAGAACCGACCGAATAGGATAAATACGCACGGCGCGGCGACATTGCGCTTACTTTAAAACTCAACGCGTAACCAACGTCCAGCGGTTAGGTTAGTAGAGAACAACAAAAAATAATATTATGGCAAGCAGTTGTAAGAAGGTAAAGACACCACTTTCATTCGGAATGGGAAGAACAATACTTTTTTACAGAAGTTAAAGATAAAAATGTGTGTTTGTTATGTATTACTTCGGTCTCCGTTGCTAAAAAAAAATATTGAGAGACATCATAAAACTGTACATTCTAATTTTGAAAAATCATTCCCACTACATTCTGTCGCCAGAAAGGAGAAACTGAAACAGTTGAAAAAGCAGTTAATCGGACAACAATCAATATTTTTAAGAATAGTCGACAAAAATAAGTCCGCAACTGAAGCATCGTGCCGTGTGTCCCAGATAATTGCACAAAAAAAGAAACCTTATGAAGACGGGGAAATGATAAAACAGGCGTTTTCAGAAGCTGCTGATTCGTTATTTGCTAACTTTAGAAATAAAGACGAGATAGTTTCAGCTATAAAGTCTATGCAACTTTCTGCTAATACAGTGATGGGACGTGTAGAAGTAATGAGCAATATTTTTTTACAGTTAAGAATTGACTTAGATAACTGTGTTTATTTTTCACTTCAACTGGATGAATCAACAGATGTCGTTGACACTGCACAGATGGCCGTGTTCGTCAGGATGGTTTTTAGTGATTTTACGATTAAAGAAGATCTTTTGAAGTTTATTCCACTGAAAGGACACACTAATGGGCAGGAGTTGTTTTCTCATTTAAAAAATATTATTTCTTCCGAGAAAATTCCAATATCGAAAATGGTAGGCTTGACAACCGATGGCGCTCCAGCTATGGTGGGTTGTGATAAGGGTCTGGTGGCGTTATGTCGTAAAGATGAAACTTTTCCGCAACTTCTCTGTTACCACTGCATTATCCATCAGCAAGCATTATGTGGAAATTTCCTGAAACAAAACAACGTTATAAAACTGGTGGTAAAAATTGTGAACAAGATTAGAGCTCAAGCGTTACAAAGAAGATTATTCAAAACCTTGGCCGATGAAGTTGACTGTCAATACGGGGACCTACTCCTTCACTCTGATGTCTGATGTCCTATCTGGCATAGTTCAATTTTTCAAACAATGCGATGAACCGACTCCGGAACTAGAAAATTCAATCTGGCTTAGAGATTTTGGTTTTCTCGTGGAAATTACAGATAAATTAAACGAACTTAATTTGCAGCTTCAGGGGAGAGACAAAGAACTAGCGGAAATGATTTCTGATATAAAAACATTTATCAAAAAGCTAGAGTTTTGGGAACAAAACCTAATTAACAGCGATGCCAAGCATTTTCCTTTTCTTTTAGAAAAAATATCTCAAAATCCATTAGAACCCTATGACAGCAAATATCATGTAGAAATAGTTTCTACCCTGAAGAATAACTTCAAAAATCGTTTTAAGGATTTCAACGAAATGGCTTTAGTAACGCAGTTTGTTGTTTCACCCTTTATGGAAATTGATATCCAACAGTTTGCAACTTGTGTTATGCAGAACTTTGGCGAAGACATCGCTGCAACAGAAATGGAAGTAATTGAGTTTTAAAATGATTTAGCCTTAAAATCGTTAGTCTCAAGTACCAAATGTATCTGGCCTATTGTAAGTAAAGACAAATATTCAGTTCTATGCCGTGTTGCCTTGAAAGTGAAAGCATTATTCAGTTCAATCTATTTGTGTGAATCTTCTTTTTCCAATATGAAGTTTATTAAGAACAAATATCGCAATCGACTTACAGATGAACATTTGAATAATTGTATTCGAATGGCTGTATCAAATTATACTCAAACATTAAAAAAATTATCGATGAGTCTGAGTGTCAGCCTTCTCATTGAACGTGCTTTTTTATTTTTCAATGTTTATGTTCATGATAGTGCGTTACTTTTTTGTTGTTATTATTAACTATTTTTAAATCTTACGTGACATGCCGTTGTGGCTGGATAAAAGTTTGTGTTTATTTTTCAAACACCTTCGTTTGATAGGTAGAAATGTAGCTATGAACAAGTACGTACTAGTAATATTAGTTATTTTGTTATTAGTTTATTATTAGTACCTATGTTTTATGTATTACCAGTTAAATAGTAAAATAAATACATATAATGATAAATTAACTGTGGATTATTTCATTTACGTTGCGTTACATGGCTTCCGTGTGGGTAGCTCGCTGTTTATTCCAAAATTAACAAAGTAGCTCAAAACATTGAGAAGTTGGCGACCACTGCCCTAAAGTGTGTCGTGTCTTAAAGTGTTTAAAGAAAAGGTTCTCAATGCTGAAAGTCAACTTCTTTGTGTCAAAACTCAATCGTTTCTCGTTTTTTAAGCAATGAATTTGTCTGTAAATACTCAGTCTCGATGATATAAGAACCTCTATATTAGCACATCTCAAATATTTAAATGATTTTAAAAATATTTTGAAATTCTCAAAAAAAGAACCATAATCGTAAAAATATATTTATTAAAAACTTGTTCTAAATTTGTCAGTTATCTGTTTTTTTTTTTTTTCAGTAAAAGCCCATAAAAACTGAGTTGTTAGGAAAATGTATTATCGTTTCGCTACGCACACGTTCAAAATAGCCAATTTGGAGGTCGAGCAGAGTTATCGGGAATTCCATTCATTATCTAGGTTCGTATCAATCATCCGGAGCACTGCAAACTGGAAGGTATCGAACGAAAAACACCGTAAAAGCGAAAAGGAGAACGCTACCGGATATAGATGAAAAAGGTTAGTTGTTGCACCGTTGTGACGTAGACCATTTTTATTTCTATTCTCAGCAGTGTTGCCGACGCAAAAAATTAAATGATCCAAATGTCGAACTCAAATTATCCAAAATTATCCGAAC